ATTGGTTGTGGTGACCAGGTCTGATAAGGGCGAGGAGTGATTGCTGGAGCAAGAGCTTAGATAAAGAGCGGCTCTCGATAAATTTCTAGGATGGTGAAGAGGTTATGAATGAGCCGAATTGCATACTGAATAAAGAGAGAGCGTTCTTGAATTACATATGTGAAACTAAAATTAATTCACAAGAAATGCATTTTGCCTTAACGGCAACTTCACTCGCTCTCTCTCATCTATTTTTTATTTGATGGCTTCTGCATCTTATCCAATCAAGCAATTGATCTGGCAGCAAGTTGAGGATAAATGTCAATGACATGAGGACAAATTTGTTTTCAAATCACAATATATAATCAAAAATTGAAATCTTCTAGAACAAGATTATACCATTTGCATATGCCGTAAGAAATGGAATTTATCTTAACGAGATGGTTAAAGATAGCTCCGAGCAGCATACTTCCATATCGGGCGCCGTGGCACGTGTCACCATGATGAGAGTTTTTGGTTAGAGATTTAAGGTAATTATAGTTTAAGAATATATTTGTTGATTCTTATATGACACATAATTATCTATCGACGAAATCGGTAAGAAGAAAGCGATCACGTTAGATATCTTGTAATCGCAAAAAACCGGAGTTGAACTAATAATATTTACACTTAAAGAACCCCTGAAAATCAGTTTGCATGTTAAACTGAAGCTTCTAATTAGTCGGACATTATTTACTAAGCCAGCTTACAAAATTTGACGGGGTTTTTTGAATTAAATCATTAGTCGATCAATGGGATTTTTTCTAGCTTAAACATTAGTCCTATACAATAATTTTCTTGTCATTTTGCAACAACTTGCGCACATGCTCCAATTCGAGTTCATCTGATCAAAGCACAAGGTGAAGGTTGGCTATTGCCACGTAGGTTAATTAAGTAAACCTTAATGATGGGTTAATTGTATTAAAGCACAACGTGAGATATTTCAAATTGTGAGAGCTGCGAGCTAATCAAGCTTGTCGCAGTACCCTAATCTCAACAGCGGATGACCCTAATTATTTACGTGCGACATAAACCTACGATAGTGACATCATTAAATTTTCATGCGTGCAACTACGAGAGAGGACAAGCATGTTATGTATGACTTTATGAGTTGACGTTAACGCAACGTCTCTGCTAAGAACGTCCTTATCAACATATTAATCACCAATCGAGGAGTATTAATAGATGAGCTAATGATTGGTCAAGATTTATACATTACTGAAAATAGGTTGACCATATTTAATGAGGCGAGAGAGAGAGAGGCGTGAATCATTTGATGTTACCGGAGAATGTTCTCTCCCTCGAGCAATTTGAGGCGAAGGAGCAATGATAGATTCTCCAAAAAGTGAGGCCGGAAATTTGATCCGGCGACACTCGAGGGTAGTGTTGTGGTTCTTGTCGACAACTGGGGCAGTGTTGTTACATGTTAGGTAAGTAAAAGTTGGTAAAGATAATCATAGTTGGTAATTGAAAGAAAAATAAATTTGGTAAGTATAACTCAACTAAGAGTTGGTAACTTGAAATTAATAGGGAATCTAATCAGCAAAAAGTTGAGGAGTCTCTTAAATTGAAGTTGGTTTTTTCTTAAACGAAAAGTTGGTAAATTTAAAGCGTTTCTAAGAAACACAATAAAAGTTTTTAAATGACAAGAAATAATTAGTAAATTAATAGAAAAAGGCCAAATAAATGTTGAGAAGTAACTCAAATAAAAGCGGATAATGCCATTACTAGATGCAATGTTTTTAAAAACCATACAGAAGGCCATACAAGCAAGGTGAACCATATGCAGTTTAATCGGAAAATTTGGTAGCTTGAAAAATAATTGATATGTATAGTGCATGCCTTACAAGTCTTTCCCCAAAGTTGAGTTGGTACAGTCCTGTCCAATTATTTTCGAGGTCATGGGGTTGAATCTCACCATGTGCTAATTAAAATCTTCTTTGAGAAAGATAAATGAATTGTTTGCCATTTATGGAGGAAAAGCTCCTCCTAGTTTTGATTGGTAAAATGAATTAATGAATGAAGAGGTTAGAGGTTCGAACCATGCCCTCTACAACACAACTTTTTTGTTACGAAGTTCAACAATTTGAAAAAATGGACTGGTCCGACCCGGTTCAAACTGAAGTGGTTTGATCGGCAAGGCTGGTTTTGACCTATTTGGTTGGTTCTTGACCGGCTTTGACCATCTATGGTATAAAGGTGTGAACCGGACCGTCACCTAGCTGGTAGTCAGTCGAACTGGTAGGTCCGGTTTGATATTTCAAATATTAACTAGATGGTAATCTAACGAGAGATAAGTTGGTGACTAAAGCTAAATTAAGTTAGTAATCTCTAAAAAGAGTAACTAAATATAAAGAGTTGCTAATTGAGACAAATAAAAATTGATAATTCGATTGAAAAAAAACATTGTAAAATTGAAAAAAAAACATATAAGTTTTAATAAGTAACTTAAATGAGAATTGATATTAAAAAAATTAGTTAATAATTTAATTTAATAAAAGTTGTAGATCACTCTAATTTATTTTGGTAATTGTATATAAGAGTTAGTAAATTAAAAGTGTCAGTAAGCTGTGTAAATAAAAGTTTGTAAGCTAACAAAATTACCGATTTGCAAATTGTAAACATAGCTAATAATTTTATAAATGTTTAGTAATTTTAAAAAACCGGCCGTCTTTTCAACCAACAATATCTTTGACACTTCCAATACTTATTGAAAGTTACCAAAAAAAAAAAATGAAAAACGGTATTATTGGGCATGAGACAATAGAATTTTGCCCCTGTCGTACATTCAAGGTGGGAATGAATAGTCCACTTCATTCCTAAATTTTCTATGTCACATTCCCCTTGTTTTACTTCGATATCTTACCAACAAATGCATGAAGTAAGTAAATTGGTTATAATAATAACCATATATTATAGAACAACAAAAACACAAACCTGGGTCATAGCGGCGAAGTTTGAGCACAATCTATTGATAAATCAACGAACCCGAATTTGAAGCATATATATGCTCCAAATGAGTTATCGCTTTTTGATTTTGAAAGGGTTTTCCATATAAAATTTCACTTGTCATCTTCATTATTTTTTCTCTTGAAAGATTCGCGTTCCTGCACAATTTCCGTGGAATTTATGCGAAGAAAAGACGTGTGTGCTGTAACTTCCCCTCATGTTTGGTTCACTCTAAAATAAGAGTTCGAAATGGAACTGCCATTGATCGGAATCGAATTCCCACCTTTCTGGAATAAAGTTTAACCTCCGAACAGGATTATCAAGGACACGGGATTACAACAAGCAAAAACCAGTAACAAGGAATGGGATTCTGACAGAATCGTGGCATATAATTCCCTAGCTTTGAGGAGCTTGTTTGATTTGAAAGCTATGGAAACAAGGCATGAATTCCACAGATAGGATATCAAGGAAATTGGATTACAGCAAGCAAAACCCCAGCAAAAAGGAATGAGATTCCAACAAAATGATATATAATTCGTTAGCTTTGAGGGGCTCGTTTGATTAGTATCGAGTATCATTCCTCTTCCATTATCTCCATTAATGTAGGAATAAAGGAGGAAAGGAGGAAGGTTATTCCATTGGGGCTACATTACCTTCCTCAATTTATGTAATTGATTGGAAGGTTTGCATCAGCAAGTCCATGAAATGACAATTTTCATAAACAAATGGAAGCAAGAACAGAGGACAATCACGCAAGTATAGGCTATGGGGACTCAAAAGAAAGTGGGAAGTCTATGAACTTTTTATCGCACGACAAAGTCCAAACATAGAAACCAGACGTAGGCATGAACCGGGTGCATGTATACGCGATCAAATGCACATATATCAGTCATTAAATCATGCGCGGTCCTGATGACGGGCTGGCGCATCCCAGGAAGTCCACTCGCGAGGTCAGGCAGCTGGTCTGGTGCACAATGGTCAGGTGGAGAGAGAGAGAGAGAGAGAGAGAGAGAGAGATGCAAAGTATGAGGGAGTGAGATTAAGAGTGGCCAATACGCATGCAGCTCTACTGGTAAAGGGATTGGGGTGGTGGGGATACTGTATCACAGGTGCAGGATTTGACTCTCGCGCTCTGCAAGCGGCAAAGCAAAAATCAAAGAGAGAGAGATGAGAGTTAGAGATAGGACAAAAAAAAAAATTTAAGAGTGGAGCTTGTGCTAGAGAAAAGTATGGTTAGTGAGTGGGAATCCAGCTTTTAGCGAGGCCATAAGGTTTGGAATAAAACATGGAACAAAGAGGTCTTGCATGGGCCAACACGCTCCAAGGATTTCTATGGTACAACGGTTGTATCGTTAAATTTTTCGTTTAACATTAGATTATGACGAGACGTTGTAATATTGTAAAACCAAAATAAAATCGCATTATCAAAGACTTTTTATGACATTCTTGCACTTAGTAATGTAGACAAGCGAAGTAATATTGAACGGTACAACAGTTGTAGATGTTTGATGTAATTTCATGCGATTCCTGAACTTTGGAAAGTGGGTTTTGAACTTCCAAGTCCTCTGATCAAATTTTTTAATATTTGGTATAAATTCCGTTATCTTGTAATTTCAAAGTCCAACCTCATCTACTATCGCTCAAAGTTGGAAGCAGCTTTGCAAAGTTTTCTTGAACTGACAGTTCTTGTTTAACTTTGTTTTTTTACTGAAACATTCTTAGATGAATTACCTTTTCACCATAAAGTAGTTTTCTCAAAGCAAATTCATGCGCTCTTCTCTAAGAGCCCTTTAAATGGAGCCTCCTGCGAAGCTATACTGAACGAAAAAAACCCCCTCCCATTGTTAGTCCACTTCCTGCAAAATCCCACTCATTTCACCATGTTTAGCTCTTCCTGATTCACTCTTTTGCTCTTGATCCTTTGCCTTTCGACTTCTTCCGCTGATTTTGCGTAAAATTGAGCTAAAACATTCACTTTCGGGATAAAGTACATCTGTTTCCTAGAGAAGCTCTGAGCTGAAAGGCATTCACTTATGGAGGTCAATGAAAGTTTGTTAGAGAAGAAAGAAGCAAATGACGTTATCCTTATGATTTCAGGCCCTGAATGTCAAAGCAGAGGTTCTCCACCAAAACCAAACACTCAGCCAATAGAGCTTGAAAATTACCCATCAAGTTCACAAATTTCCAATGTGACAAGCCCCTCTGCTCAAGAGCTCACTCAGTCAATCCCGACTCCGAGTAAGCTTCCAAATATCCCAACCAAAAAGTCCATCTCGCTGTCTTCATTTGCGAAGCTGAAATCAAGATTCATGGAACCGCCATATCCTAGTGACGCAAGTGCTAGTGCAACTAAGGACCATGGGAAACCGGAGCTGAGAATGCCTCCAAGTGGTTCAGCAGACACACCACCAGATGCAGAGGAGGAAGATGATGAGGAGGTGTGCAAGACTGCGAATCAGGAGTCCCAAATGATGTCGGGTAAAAAGAAGGTTGTTTTGGCTCAGTGGGTCGCGTTTGTGTGCATCATAGGGCTTCTAATAGCGAGTTTAACCATTCATAGACTGCAAAATACAATTATTTGGGAAGTGCAATTGTGGAGATGGTGTTTGCTGATGTCGGCAATCTTTTGCGGTAGTTTGGTGACAGACTGGTTGATCAGCATATTGGTGTTCTTGATTGAGAAAGACTATCTGCTTAAAAGGAATGTTTTGTACTTTCTCTATGCATTGAAGGATGGTGCCGAAGTGTTTGCCTGGTTGAGTCTGGTCCTTTTAGCCTGGGTTTGGCTGATAAACCATGGAGTGAAGCGATCGAGACACACGACCAAGATTCTGAACTGGGTCACGAGGGCGCTCTTTTCTTGTCTTGTAGGAGCTGCCTTATGGCTGATCAAAACATTTCTGATAAAATTGCTTGCTCCTTCTTTTCAATGCAAGAGATTCTTTGATCGCATTCAAGAGTACATCTTTCGTCACCACGTTATAAGGACCCTTTCCGGCCTGCGTCCAGCGGAAAGTGCCGACAAATTGGGTAGCTCGAGGTTTAGCATGAGGCTAAGTCTCAAGAAGTATATTAAAGGAGCTGCAAGGAAGTTTGAAGAGGTGAACATAGAGAAGCTACGTAAGATAAAGCCGGATAAAATTTCTGCTTGGACGATGAGACGGTTGATTAACATTGTTAGCGGCTCGGAGCTGTCGACTCTTACCGGTTCCCTCGATAACATCGAGGATAATGAGGCAGAGCAACAAGAGAAGGACATCACCGATGAGCAGGAAGCCAAGACTGCTGCTTCTGCGATATTCAAGAATGTAGCCAAGTTAGAGAGCAAGTGAGAGCAGCGACTACCTTAAAACTCTCTCCTAATCTGGAAATGTGTTGTTGGTTTGATCCTCTGGGGGTTGGCGCAGTAGGTTGGGGCTGTGGGGGGTTTCCAGCTTAGGAATTGTAGGTCACCTGTAACAGCCCGAATTTCGACGTAATTCCGGGATCAATAAAATTGACAATATTTCGCATTTCATTTTAGTAAGTCTCACCCAGAGCTGATCACTCTCGGGATACTAACCAATGGGGTATGGCTAACTAGGAAACGGTACGTGGACCAGGGACTCGACAGTGAACGGGACACCGATCTCGAGATACGATAAGTGAATATTTTGGGCCAACGCGGGCCAATCTTAGAGAAGGTGATGGATTTGGTTTAGCTAAGGCCAACGATGTACAATCGGATCGCAGGTGATTCTGCAAGACCGAAAGTGCACGTGGCCAACCAGTCCTGAACCTGAACCGAACGATCGTGACCTTTGGAACTAATGATAATTTCTCATTCTCTCAATGATCGGGACCGTCGTAATTCAAATAACCCTAGGTCGATACGCGTATGTCCTAAACAGCCGCCCGTTAGCCAGAGACCCTGAAATTGAAACTCGAGCGAGTTTTGATCACGAAATTGGGCCCGGATTTCGATGTCGATTTTCGAAGGCTTAAGAGACTATTTTTGGGAATCTGACGTCATATTATGCTGGCCACACACGTTTGGAGTTAGTACGAGTAAAAATTGGAATTTCGGTCCGGGGGTAAAAAATTACGATTTTGCCCCTCGGGACGCCAGCGTTGCTTTTCGAGGCGAAATGAGGTTATTTTTCGAAGCCGGCGCCATTTTTGGGTGGCCACGCATACCAGGAGTCGTTATGGCCAAAAATTGGAATTTCGATAAAAATTAGAAAAATAATATTATTTTATTCCTGGAACTTCGCAGTCAATTTTCAAGGGTTTAGAAAGTGAATTTCGCGATTCCGACACCACATTATGTTGGCCACGCTCATGGAGGGGTTGGTACGTGCGAAAATTGGAATTTCGCACAGGGACCAGGAAAAATGACGATTTTGCCCCGGGCTAATTTTTTGTCCGAATTTTTTTGGGATAATTTGGGATAATTATGGATAATTATCAGCTGCATTATTGGGGGCCATTGACCATTTTACCCCTCCCTTTTTGGATAAGATCGGATAGAAACCGTTAGATTATGGGTATTTTCGTCAAAACCGCCGGATTTGCGACACGTGTCGCCCTAGGGCCGCCCTTTTTGACCAGGTCGACCTTTATCTCTCTCCTCACTCACCCTCACGCCAGAACTCCCCCAGAACAGCAGCCCCTTCAGTTTTCTCCCCCATTTTTCTCTCTTTTCCTCTCTTGTTTGGCTCGCCGGAGCTCGTCGCCGGCCACCGGAGCACCGCCGCCGACCACCGTGCCCCGCCGTGGACCACCTCGGCCCCTCGGCCTCGGCCTTGCCCTGGCCGACCCTTTCTCTCTCCCTTTCTCTCTCTTTCTCCCTCTTTTTCTCTTTCCGTCCGACAAAAAGGGGGCTGGAGCCCAGGAGCTCGGATCGCTGTTCCGTCACCACCCAGCTGTCCAGCCTCGCGTACAACACCGGGCGTACCCGTCCGTACAACGCTGTACGGAAGCACTGTAGCAACCCCCCGTACGGGAGTACTGTTCATCCCGTCCCGTACGGGGTCACTGTTCACGCCGTCGCCGGGAATTCTGCCGCCGGTTTCACTGTTCACTAGTGATCGGCCGCCATTCCCCGTCGTCGTGACCTCGGATTAAGTGAGTAAAATTCCTAAACCCGGATTAGGACTGTTAGTGCATTTTTCTCGGATGGTTTAGGTATTATCGGTACATTTTGATTTGGCTTAGATAGTATCAGTGTGTATTTCAGACTGGATTGAGGACTGATTAGTGGAAATAAAATCCGAGGAATTTAGTGGGATTGTTATGAACAATTATTGGGCCCGGATTGTCACGCCCCGAACCCCAACGGGCTCGCGACATCCCTCCCACGGTCGTATTGAACGCGACGTCCCAGGACGCGTCGCCGACCCAAACGAAACACCCAACAATAAAGGCAAGCGGAAGCGAAATTAATTAACCCAGACAATAAATAATAACAAAGGGATAGCACGCAACAGTAATTGCATAACAACATAAAGCAGTCATTAATACAAAACAGTAATCCAGGCTACCAATTTAAAAACCACAATTTTCAAAAGGGGGCGGTGGTTTACAAGCCTATCTCCTCTACAAAAATATACTCAAAAGACAGGGTAAATGATCTATCTTTCAATTCCTGTGGAGCTCTGGCGGCATCTCCGAATCGATCACGGTCGCGGATCTGAAATGGTTATATAATAACCGTGAGAACGAGTCTCAATAAGCAACCCCCTATACCCCACGTAGGCCAATGCGTACCCAGACAAGTCGTACATGCAATCTACATCTACCCCATAACATATAAAATAAAATAGCATCCTTATACTTACCTCACCATCGAACCCATGCTAACACTGCACGTTAGTCATAACATGGTAATGCAGTAATAGTAACTAAATAGCACATCGCAATTGCTCAAACGCCAACCACACTTGCACGCAATTCATCTTACTAATTCGACCACACATTCAACTGACCAATTCCATCACACGCTCAACCAACCAATTCAATCACACTCAACCGGACATTTCAATCACACTCAAATCGCATGCGTGGCCGAACATCTTTCTCACGACCCGCGCCACTGCGCCTCAGGTCCATTCTCACTGCCCGCGCCACTGCGCCTCAGGCCCACTTGGCACACCAGCCATTCATGCTTTCACACGGACCGCCGTCAACACGTCCCAAGTCCGTAGCCCTCCGATCAATCCGGGCTCAATTTCCAATGACCGACGTAAATACGTCCCGGTCCAACACACCTCTAACGGGCCACCGTCAACACGTCTCAAGCCCGCATCCATTTGGCACACCGGCCATTCATGCCTTCACACGGACCGCCGTCAACACGTCCCAAGTCCGTAGCCCTCCGATCAATCCGGGCTTATAATCGATGTGCATGCACACGCCATTCAATTCAATCAATTTCACGCCAATTGCATTAAACCATCCATATTCACAACTCACCACGTCAATCCACAAACCCGACGTTCAAGTCGGCCACGCACGATCACCCAAATCATGCACATCATTTTATCCAATCCAATTAGCACAATCATATCATAATATAATTAAATTAAATCACGCTCTAACCGTTCTAAACCCGAGACAAGTCATAAAATACCCAAAGTACTAGATAGGGTTTAGAAAGTCACTTACTTCAATTTGGCTCGGGAAAAACCCGCACGGGCTCAAAAACGGGCCGATGAACAAAGGTCCGAATGAACAAGAACGGGCCCCGATGAACAGTGTTCGGAATGAACAAGAATGGGCCCGGATGAACAAAGTGCTCCGGAATGAACGGTGACGGGCCCGGATGAACAGTACCCGGAATGAACAGTGACGGGCCCGGATGAACAGTGACGCCCCCCCCCCCCCTCGGCTGAACCGTACGAGCAAGGGCGCGGGCTTGGCCACGGCCCGGGGCACGCTCGGGCTGGCTGGGCAGGGTCGCCGGGGCTAGGCGGTGGCGGACGGAGCAGCGGCGGCGGCCGAAACAGCGGCACGCGGCGGCAGCGAAGCTGGGAGCTCGAAACGGGGAAGGCGCAGGAAAGAAAAGGGGGGGAAAGGGGAGGTCGGGCGGCGGGGGAGGTGGCACGGCGGCGTCTCGAGTGGCCGGGCGACGGAGGACGGGCCGGCGGACGGCTCGGCAACGCCGGACCACGGCGGACGCAGCTGCAAGCGCTTGCTCGCGTGCAGGCGTGGGATGTGGCCGGCGACAGGCGGATAAGGCCGACGAGCGGCGGTCGCGAGCGCGGCAGCACGGCTCGGTCGGGCGACGGCGGCGCGGCGGCGGCGGCGACGGGGCAGGCTGAGAGGTGGCTGACCGGGCGGCGAGCGAAGCGGAACCCGGTCGGCGAAGGAAGAAGGAAGAAGGAAGAAGAAGGGAGAGAGAAGGGAAGAAGAAGAGAAAGAAGGAGAGAGGAAGAGATGAGTGGATGAGTCTGACAAGGGGGGAAAACGTGCGCAAGAGGAAAAGGTGACCGGAGAGAGAGAGAGAGAGAAAGAGAGAGAGAGAGAGAGAGAGAGAGAGAGAGAGAGAGAGAGAACGTGCGCGGTGGAGAGAGGAGAGAGGAGAGAGAAAAACAATAAAAAAAATTAACTTCAATCAAATATTAAATGCGATCCGATGACCCAAATTCAAAACCGAAAGCGATCTACCGGTCCAAAATAAGCCTCGCATATAAAAAGGGACAAAGGTCGAATTAATTAAATCAAACTATATCGAGGGAGGTCTACTAGTCCAAATTCGCACCCGGTCAAAAACTCCCCTTTTTCCATTATTCCTGACAATCTCAACGATGGCTACGATAATATTGACACCGTCCAATTTATTTCGTCCTGAAACTCCCGAAAATCGACTCTCAAGTTCGGGGTCTAAATAACGGCCAAATTCGATCAAGCGCGATTCTAGCGAAATCTCAATTTTAAAACAATAACCGAGAGTGATCAGTTCCCGGGCGAGATTTTACTATAAGCACACTGACGAATTACACGTTTTATAAATCCCAACTATGGGCCAAAATTCGGAATGTCACAACTCTTCCCCCCTTATAAAAATTTCGTCCTCGAAATTTACAATCCAACCCAACTATTCAAACAAATGGGGGTATTGGTGTCGCATCAACTCTTCACTTTCCCACGTCGCACCTTCGGTTCCATGGTGTTCCCAAATCACTTTAACCATCGGAATTGTCTTGTTCCGCAACACTCGCTCCATTCTATCCTCGATCCGAACTGGTTTTTCCACGTACGACACTCTGTCGTCCACGTCTATTTCCTCGTAGTTCAGCACGTGGGTCGGGTCCGGTTCATACTTTCTTAACATTGACACGTGGAAGACGTT